TATATATATATGTATATGCACATGTGTATTTGGAATCCTTACAACAATACTAATGTCATAATGGGAGGAAAATTAAAAAATGGGTAAATAAAAAGAAAATGGGTGAAATATTTTTTCTTGAGAATAGACTTGTATAGTTGGAAATATTTCTTTTTGCACTGTATGATTCATTTTTAATGCCATACCTATTATATTTTCATCACCCAAAGTGATTTTAAAGGCACAGATTTTAAATTTGTGAATGACTGCATTTGCTTATGTGTATATAAGTTTGCCATAGCAAATTCACATCTTCTTTCTTTTCAGATACTAACTCACATTTTAGAAGACAAACTGAGATACATGGAAAACCAGAGGAATGTCTCAGAATTTATTCTTTTAGGACTTTCTGATGAATGGAGCATACAAACATTATGTTTTGTGCTCTTCTTATTCTGTTATGTTGCCCTTTTGGTGGGAAACCTTCTGATCCTTATCTCTATTCGGTGCAGCCCTCTATTTCACCAGCCAATGTATCATTTCCTCTGCCACTTGTCTTCTATGGACATCTGCTATACTTCTTGTGTGACACCCAAACTGATTGGTGACCTGCTTGTGAAAAGGAAAACCATTTCCTATGGTAACTGCATGTTGCAAGTCTTTGCCATACATTTTTTTGGAAGCATCGAAGTCTTCATCCTCACAATCATGGCCTTCGATCGCTATGTTGCCATCTGCAGACCTCTTCACTACCTGATTATCATGAGCAAAGCAAGGTGCAATCTCCTGGTTCTAGCTGCTTGGGCTGGTGGGGCTCTCCATTCCTTTCCTCAGTTGTTTATAGCAATCCAGCTGCCCTTATGTGGCCCTAATGAAATCGATCACTATTTCTGTGATATTTTTCCTTTGCTAAAAGTTGCCTGCAGTGATACCAGTACTGCTGGTGTCCTTGTGGTTGCTAATTCAGGAATAGTTACCTTAGTGACATTCGTGGTTTTGTTTGTTTCTTATGTCATCATACTGTGCACTTTAAGACATCATTCAGCTGAAGGAAGGCGCAAAGCCCTCTCTACTTGTGGGTCTCATGTCACTGTGATAATTTTATTTTTTGGACCTTCAATCTTTGTCTATCTTAGACCTCCTACCACTTTTCCAGAAGATAAAGTGTTTGCACTATTTTACACCATCATTGCTCCTATGTTCAATCCCTTAGTCTATACTTTGAGAAACACAGAGATGAAGAATGCCATGAAAAAAGTCTGGTGTCAAACATCCTAGATAAATTTTCAAGAAATGTGTGTAGAATCATGGAGCTAGAACTTGATCTCGGTGATTAATTGCACTGTAGGTGTTATTTTATGAATAACATAAGTAGGTTTTGGAGTAAAATATAACTACTATCTAACACTAATTCTGTTGTGCAAAAATGAGTCAGAAATGTAGTTATTTTGTGGTTTAATTAGATGGTGTGAGTAGGGTTACATGTGTAAAAATAATTTAGGATGCAGTAACTGAGATAATTCTGAGCAGTGAATTATGACATAAAGAAGAAAACCTTAATGATAATTTAACTATAAATTTTAGGATTAGTGGCTAGGCTACGTTATGAAAGTTCTCTGTGTCATATGAAAAGTTATACTCTATAAGTTAAATAATGAGCTTTAACTTGTGATAGGATTTTTACCTAAAAGATCTTCAGTGGCATTAGAAATCCATTATATAAGAAATCAATATAATAATAGTATAATAATAAAATTGGTTTAAAGTAGTTGCTGAGTATCAACTCTGCTGACTAGCATCACTAAACATTACTAGCAAAGGTAGCACAAAATTAATTACTCAGAATGTTGGTAACTTACTCATTGCTGTCCTATATTTGAGCATTTAAAAAAATTCATAAATGAAATGAAGCTTGAAATTTCAGAAATTAATAGGACAATAATTAGTCAATAATTAGAAAATAATAAGCGGGTCACTACTTTGAAGTCAGCCTGGGTAATTTAGTGAGAGCTTATCTCAAATGTAAAAAGGGATATTTCGTAGTTCAGTGGTAAAGCACTGAATCAATCTGCAGTGCTGGAAAAAAAGAGAGAAAGAGGAGAGAGAAGAAGAAAAAAAAAAGAAGGCAACCATGCAGGAAAGAAGGAAGGGCAAATAAAGAGAGAAAAGATTAAATAACAAGATTATGAGTAGGATTATAACTAAAATGAAGAGTTTTAGAACAAGTAAATACAGGAATCACACTCACTTCAGTGATTATATATAGAAAAAATAAAGATGACAGAATGGTTTTAATTTAAGAACTTGGTAATTTACTATTTTGTCAAGTTAGTATGCAAACAAAATACTGTCTGATTTAAAGTTCTTTTTTTTTAAAAAAAAAAAGTAAATTTGGCTAAGTCTAAATGTTTGAGGGGAACATTTTAAAAATGACATTTTTGTAAGTGTGAAACTGGCATTTTATGGTAAAGGAAAACAACAATACTTCCTTTAAATTGGGTTTATAGGTTAAACAATTTATGTGTCTTTCTTGAAGAATAAATATTGATGGGGCTGGAGTTGTGGCTCAGAGGTAGAGCGCTCGCGTAGCACATGCGAGGCCCTGGGTTTGATCCTCAGAATCACATAAAAATAAAGAAACAAAATAGCAAAACTTAGGAGACATTAAACAGATCAGTGGTTATCAGGGGTTCAGTGGAGAGAGGGCTGCATGGGTGGGGCAAGGAGAATTTTCAGGGTAGTGAAGCTACTTTGTGGGAGACTTTCATGATAAGGACATGTCCTTTAGTAGGTAAATGAGAAAACAAATATAGTACATTCAAACAATGAAACGTTTTTGGCATTAAAAAAGCAATAAGTGATCATACAGTTGTCAAAACCCAGAGAATATGGTTGGGGTTGCAGCTCAGTGGTAGAACGCTTGCCTAGCATGTGTGAGGCACTGGGTTCTATTCTCAGCACTGCATATAAATAAGCAAAATAAAGGTCCATTGACAACTAAAAAAAAATATTTTTAAAAAACCCCAGAGAATATGCACAATGTGTGAACCCTAATTAATGTACACTATAGATTTTGTTATTAACAATATTAATGTTCTTATTTAATTAAATAATTTAATGATGCAAAATATTAATAATAAAGGACATACATGGGAACTTCCTGGACTTTCTGCTCATTTTTTCCTTAAAGCTGAAACTACTGTTAAACATTTTAAAATGTCATGGGAACAAATATTTTCCACATTTTATGCCACTATATTCTCTAGACATTTGGAGACCCATATTTTCCCCTGCTTCCTAACACCTTGTTTTGTTTTGTTCTGTTTCTTGAGTTGCTTTTTTATTGTATAATTATCTATTGACAGAATATGCCTTATTTTCCTTCCCCTAAGTCAATCCACATTTCAGGAAATGTGGATTTCCTGAAACCTTATGAGGAAGTTGATTCTATGAAATTAAAATATTTCTGAATTTATTACAAATGGAGAGGGGACTGGGTTGAAAAATTTACACTTCATAATATCATTCTGGAAATCATACAGCCAGAATACGATAGCTTGTAACCTTTTCAGATCTCCTTTCAAGTAGCAGCACTGATTTAAGATTCCTTATGTCTTTTTATGGCTTGATCACTTATTGCTTTTTTAAAAATGCCAAAAATGTTTCATTGTTTGAATGCACTATATTTTGTTTTCTCATTTACCTACCAAAGGACATCTTGATTGCTTCTGATTATTATCAATTATAAATAAAGGTTCCACAAACATTTATGTGCAGGTTTTTAATGTGGACATAAATTTTCAACTCATTTTGTTAATACCTGGGAGTGTGATTGTTGGATTATATGGTAAGTCCATGTTTATCTCTGGAAGAAACTGTAAACTGTCTGCCAAAGTGATTGGATGATTAACATATTTTAAAATACTTTGGGAAGCAGCAAAGAGGCATATATTGCATGTTATGAATTCATCCCATCATTCACATGTTGCATAATATTAAAGATAAATTAGGTAATAGAAAAGATAAATAAATAAATAAATAAACAAACAAACAAAATAAAGGTATTGTGTACAACTAAAGAATAAATATTAAAAAATAAATATTGAAAAATCCTCCAGTAAAATAGTAGATGAATCAAGGTAAAATACTCAAGATGAATCTAGTTGAAATTAAAAGCAATTGATACTTTCTGTTCCCATTATCAAAGGGCACTCAGATTAATTCCAGACAAACTCTGGGGAGAGTAAAGTGTTTTATAGTACAAAACTGTGTTTCAACCTTTACCCCTTTTTTACTATTTCCATTTGACTAAATTAACTAACTTTGTGATTTTTTAAATATTAAATCTTTAAGTAAAAATTTCAAAATAATAAGATTGATAACATGTGAAACTGGAGAAATAAAAATGCTTAGGAAATAAAGCAGCTCCATGCTTTAGACACAGGAAACATTACTCATACACAGAATTAAATTTTATTCCAAAACAACACAATTGGTCCTATGGTCATTTCTGCGATTCCCCTGTACACATAGTAGCTTTGAATCCTTCTTGATCCCTGAATGAGGAATTTAATTTGGGACACAACTTCACTTGCTTCAACTCCTAAACTGCTAAATTCTTTATTCAGTTAGAATATACAAACATCTCAACTGAGCAAAGGAACTTACAGGTAGATTTAGAACTGTTCCTAGACCTTAGCCCTGTTCAGCCACTCAAAAGCAGATCCTACATGAACTAGCAGTTTAATTTCTTCTGAACTCACACTATGGGCACCTCACTTTCGCATCTTTGATCCTAATGCCCCCTCCTCTCCCATCTAGCCTCCTCCTGTTTTCTTAATCAGATTCTGCCTAACTTACTATGTACAATTCACATTTCCTGACACTTAGGAATCCTTTCCTAATGCAACCATTTTTCATCTTTCTTTCCTTTTGTTAGTGCATTACAGTTTTAGACAATATTGGGGTCCATTTCAGTGTACAAACATGAAAAATAATTTGTTCCACTTTAGTGCATAAAACTTCCTCTTTCCTTCAATTCCTCCCTACTGCTGTTCTCTTTCCTCTATTCTAGTGGTCTTCTACTTACTTTTAGATTTTTTAAATTAGTACTTTATAGATGTACATAAAGGTGAAATACACTGAGGTCTATTCATATTTGAACATAGCATAATTTGCTCCATTTCATTCTGTAGGTTCCCTCTTTTCCCATCCTTCCTTCCTCCCCATCTATCTCCCTCCTCTACTCCACTAATCTTTCTTTCATGGGATTCTCCCCCGACTCTCTTTGCTCCCTTAGTTTGGTTAGTTCCCACATACAAGAGAAAAACATTGACCCTTCTCTTTTTGAGTCTGGCTTATTTTAATGAACATGATATTCTAAAAGTCCATCTATTTACCAGCAAATGGCATAATTTTATTCTTCCTTATGGCTGAGTAAAACTCCAATGTGTATTTATACAATATTTTTCCATTCATTTGTTGTTGGGCATCTAGGCTGGTTCCATAACTTGGCTATTGTGAATTGTGTTGTTACAATGTGCCTTTATCAATGTGCCTTTATCACTATAGTATGCTGATTTTAATTTTGGGGGGATAAACATCTATTGTTTGAACATAGATGCATGGTGTTATTTATTCTACAACCTTATTTCATGTAAGTTAGAATATATTATTTGTAAAAATGCCTTTACTCTGTGTTTCACTCTTATCTCACAATAATTTGGGATTTCCTTGGACAAAATAATAAACAACAAGAATTTTAATAAGAAAGGGTACATATGCAACACTGAATATAATATGCAAATTTCAAAGTTACAAAAATCAAAATTATGAAAATAAAAAGACTAAAAATAAGAAATTATCAAAAGTTTGAATAAAAATATCATTGTCTCTGATTTTAAAGGTATTGTAGTAAATTTATTTGTGTTATTTTATTTTGGAAATATTGAGGCTCATTAAGAAAGTACATTGACAACATTTATTTTCTTTGTGAAACTGATGTATATTATATATTTAAGATATTTTATCATAGATTAAATGAGGTCAATTTTATTTGAAGGGTTTATGAAGAATTTTCAAAGTCTTGGAATCATTTTGGATTTATAGAAAATTTTCAAGAATATATAGTTTCTTTATAAAATACAGTTTTATCCATTATTTTTCTTTCTTCTTTACTTTTTTTAAAATTTCTTTTATTTTTAGGTATAAATGACAATAGAATGTATTTCGGCAGAATATAGATATATACAGTATAACTGATTCTATTTACATTCCTA